GATATCATCACAAAATGAACAATTCTGAGAGAGGTCCACATGTAGTACCTATATATGTAATATCAAAGCAATTTGCACTTGCGGTTTTTAACAAGAAGTCGAAAATATCACTTTTTACCAAAAATGACAAAAATATTCACCAAAATTAGAGAATTAAAGATATCATTACAAAATGAACAAATCTGAGAGAGGTCCACATGTAGTACCTATATATGTAATATCAAAGCAATTGCACTTGCGGTTTTTAACAAGAAGTCGAAAATATCACTTTTTACCAAAAATAACAAAAATATTCACCAAAATTAGAGAATTGAAGATATCAACATGAAATGAACAAACCTAAGAGAGGTCTACCCAAGGTACATATACACCAAGTATCAAAGCATTCAGGCTTGTAGTTTTCAAGAAGTCGAAAAAGTAAAACATTGACACGGACGACGACGACGACGGACAATCACTCATATGATAAGCTCCGCTCGACAAAGTCGACAGCGGAGCTAAAAAAGTCAGGAGACAACAGTGAAATTCAATGTCCAGAACTGTTGCCAGGCACAACAAAAAATTGCCAACTTATTGACTTCTGCAAATTTGCAATCCATTCCATTCAGAGGATGCCTGTTGCCTGACCAGCATTTTTAGTAACAACAATCATGATGAGACAATACAAACAAGCCCCAGGTGAGATAAGCCCTATTAACAATTATCATGTCTAACTATGGGGCCCTCAATGTTCATGTTTTTTGCACACTACAAAACGTGTGGGGATGAGCCTATATTGACAATTGCCAATGTATAGTGACAGCGCCCCCAATGTTACAGCTGTGTTCCTTGCACATTAGAATACACATGGAGGTAGAAAAGAGAAGGAGTGAGGACGCTATTTAAGCCCATGTTAATCTTATAAACATCCTTTGTCTTCGCTCTGGTTAAGCCACTTATTGTTTTTGTTTAGAAGTCGTTTTATCTACATGATGATAGCCGCTTATTTACACAAGAAAACGAGAGTAGAACTGAAAAAAATAAATTCCGTTTAAACATCGTCTATAAAATTGAATGCGCAAACCATAAATAAAAGAATTGTGCATGCGCAATGACCTTTATCAGATCACAAAGGTC